TTGAAGAAGTGGGTTGCTGCCAACCCGGTTGACTCCTCCAAGTCAGTCGTGGCCATCACTTCTGGAGCCAACATGAACTTTGACCGGTTGGGCTTCGTAGCGGCCCGTGCGACTTACGGTGAAGGAAGGGAAGCTCTTTTGGCGGCAAAGATTCCCGAGACTCCAGGGGCGTTTGCCGAGCTGATCAATGCCGTCATGCCTCACTCAGTTACCGAGTTCAGTTACCGGTACGCGAACGAGAGGGAAGCCAACGTGCTGCTTGGTATCTCTTTGACTGCTCCAGGCATTGAACGAGCCCAACAACTCCAAACCATCATCAGCCGCATCAAAGAATCCGGCACTATGGATGTTACTGACCTCTCCGGGGACGAGATCGCAAAGAGTCACGTCCGCTACATGGTCGGCGGGCTCTCAAACGTCCCCAACGAGAGGCTATATACTTTCAGATTCCCAGAGAGACCCGGTGCACTTGAACGATTCCTTCAGACACTCCGTACTAAATACAACATCAGTCTCTTCCAGTACAGAAACCATGGCGGAGACATCGGTCAGGTTTTGACAGGCATCCTCTGCCCTGATGAGGAGGTTGGAGAGCTGCAAAAGTTCTTGCAAGAGATCGGTTACCCATGGGAAGATTGCACAAACTCAGAGGTGGTCAAGACGTTTTTGAGATCTTGAGCCAGGGGCCAAAAATAATGCGATAGAAAATTTTAGACTTAATGAAGAGACAATTACTGATCAGGGGTTTGCAGGGAAAAGGTGAGAAGTGGGAGTATCTCAGCATTTCAGCTCGCATTCAACCGATCCTCGTCCCCTGGTCTTGATCCCAGCATCCAACCAGATGATCAAAATTCGCGATCCACTTTCCCATTGGAGATGATCCAAGTCGTTGGGCCCGGGGAGATTGTTCCAGACCTTCGGCAACGTGGGGCAGAAATATTTTTGTTCGGCACTATTGACATACTTATTGATGTAGATATCCAAGTTTGGTTAGAAGCAACAACATCAACTGTGCTGAAAATGAAAAACACCATGGGTGGTTGAATGAGATTCGTCCCTGAAGTCTTTGGGGCGATTGTGTATATATCAGGAAAAAGTTTTCTCTTTTGCTGTTCTATTTTGTTGACATCAACGACTCTTTGGGCTCGTTAGTCAGTCATTCATTTTTGGAGGAATTATCCTCACCAGTCACTCTTTTCTGTCTTTTTGTTTAGGACAATTTGTCCTTGTCACTCATTTTACCATGGCCATCATGTCGTCCAAGCTCCTGTCTCTCTTGACCGTCCTCCCGGCCGCCGTCCTCGCGTCGACCGACGGTGCCGTCTACGCGAATGGAATTGTCCGTTACGATATCACTCCCAAACGCGATGGTAGTCTCTACACTATCCCTCTCAAGCTTGGGACACCTGGCCAGTCTGTCCCTTTCAAAATCGATACTGGCAAGTCGGAGACGTGGGCCAACCCTCGTTGCACTTCGTCCGTAGACCCGGCCTTCTGCCAGACGCAGCAACGTTTCACCATGTCCTCCACCTTGATAGACCTGGGTGTACAGGGCAGTGCCTTGACCCGTGAAGGCATTTCGGATGGCTATGTCAGCTTCCAATATGTAGCGGATTACGTCGGGGTTGGTCAAGCCCGTATTACTCAACAAATCTTCGGCGTCTCCTATGATTCCACCGCTGCGGTGGTGAGCACCCTGGGTCTGGGTCCCGATCTCAATGGATTCACCGCCTCGTATCCTTTGTTTCTCGACAATATGGTCAACCAGGGCTTGATCAACAGCAGGGCTTTCTCCCTCGACTTGAAGAGCTTTGGAGGCTCAGGCGGATCCATCATATTTGGTGGTGTCGACACCAAGAAATTCCAAGGAGAACTCGTCAAGCTCCCGATCATCCCTGGCAGCCAGACCCCTGATGCTACTACGAGATACTGGGTGTATGTCAACGAGATTTCAGTGAGCAAGGAGGACGGCAGCGTTGCCAATGCCTACGAGACACCTGAGGGAGGTCGTGGCCAGCCCGTGTACATCGACAGCGGAAGCGCATTCAGCACCTTGCCCGGCAGCATCGTCAACAATATCATTGCCGCATTCCCATCCGCTGTCTTGAATGAACCTTCCGGTCTCTATCAGGTGGATTGCGAGGGGCCTGAAGATGTCTCGGTTGATTTCACCTTTATGGATACAACCATCTCGGTGCCGTACAAGGATTTCATCTACAATACTGGCAATATCTGCTTCTTGGGCGTGAAGGAAGGAGACAACTCCAAGGCTGCCCTTGGTGCCAACTTTCTTCGTGCCGCCTATGTTGTCTTTGATCAAAATAACCGAAACATTCACCTTGCTCAGACTGGTGACTGCGGAAGCGAGCTTGTTCCTATTGAGGCGGGTGCTGATGGTATTCCGTCTGTCAATGGATGCGCTGTTCCGGTCACTACTACTGAGGCTTCTTCGACTACTACCACCGAGGCTACCTCGACCGAGACTGAAGCTACTACTACTACTACTACTACTGCTGAGTCTACCACCGAGACCACTGAGGCTGCCACCACTGAGTCTGATACCGAGACTACTGAGGCTACTACCACCGAATCTGCTACCGAGACCACCGAATCTGCCACCACCACCGAGGCTCCTACTGCCACTGAGACCGACAGCGATGACGAATGCGAGGAGACCGAGACCGCTTCGGAAACTGTGACTGAGTCTGCTACTGAGTCTGCTACTGAGTCTAGTACTGATGTTATCCCAACCATCACCGCCACCGACGCCCCAGTTACCACCACTGACTCCCCAATCACCACCACTGACTCCCCAATCACCACCACTGACTCCCCAATCACCACCACTGACTCCCCAATCACCACCACTGACTCCCCAATCACCACCACCGCCGAGCCAACCTCCGACGTAGACCGCACAATCACCTACACAAGCGTCTACACGGCGACAATCACCTCTTGCGCGCCCACCGTCACCAACTGCCCCAACAGACCCCGTGTCTCAGTCATCACTCAGGTCATCACCGCCACGACCTCCGTCTGCCCCGAGACCACTGGCGCATACACCCTCACCGTTCCCGGCACTTCCGGCAGCAGCAAGGTCGTCACCCTTACCTTGACTCCCCACCCTGTTGTTCCTAACCCCACCCCTACTCCCATCACTGTCTGCCCCGGTGGATGTGGAAACGGTGGTGGTGGTGTTCCTCAGCCATCTCAGCCTGCTGGACATACCGTTCCCGCCATTCCCTCTCATCCTGTTGAGCCTGTCCAGCCTCCTCATGAGTCTCATCCCTCTGTTCCTGGCCAGCCCCCTCATGGATCCAACCCCTCTGGTCCCGGTCAGCCTCCTCATGAGTCTCATCCTTCCCCCCCCGGTAACCCCATCCATCCCGCACCAGCTACCCCAACTACTTTGATCCCCAACCCCGTCCCCCATCCTAGCCACGGTCATGGAGGTGGTTCCCCTTCTCCTACCGGCAGCCTTGGGGGTGGTCATCATAACGGAACCGTCCCGGCTAAACCTGTTGTCAGTGGACCGGTTGAGGTTAATGCTGCCGGGAGGGTAGCTGGTTTGAGTGGGTTGGCTAGTGGATTGTTGGCTGTTGTTGTTTTGGCTGTTGGGTTGTAAAGAAGTTTTGTCTTTTTGTGTGGAAGAAGAGAGAGTAAAGAATAGAAGATAGTTGGAATATAAAAACGTAAATAATTATAATTGTAATAACTCTGTTTTGCTTTCGCTTTTGATTCTGTTTGTTGTTTAATATCTGCGCCCTTCCAGCTGGTGATATCACGGGTTTAAAAGGCTTTTGAGGGCATTGAAAGAGGGTAACGAAACTTGAGAAGAATGTCGAGTGTCAAGTCAAATGTCTGGAAGCAGTCAAATTGCAAAAGAACCCGCAACCCAAGGTCATTTACACTGTATGGTAGTAGAACCTCAAGTTCCCGATGATTAATAAAACCAATATTGTCCCTACCCGCATTCTATCTGCCGATTCGATCTTCTGTGCTAACTCATGCTGGTACCTGGCCCAAGTACCGTGTTGGTAATAGGCAAACATGAAGTTTGAGATATCGGGAGTAACCTCAAAGTCCTTGAACATTCTTGGTGTGTACAACAATATCCCCAGAGCACGAGTCTTGTTTGCTTTGACAAACAAATGTATATCTTCTCTTCAGTTCCATTTCTCTTTTCATTTCAAATTGTTATCCACCATTACCTAGAAACAACTGACTAGCATCATACATCTCTTCCAAATCTCAACTCTCATCACCCTCCTTCCCCTCATAGCCCTCGCTCTGCCTTCGATAAATGCAACCCATGGTCTCAAATGGACAGGCGTCGCCATCCCCAGCCAACCCGAAATCACCCTCCATGGCTATCTCGACGTAAGCCCTCTCCCATCCCTACATAACATCTGAGTTCCCAGTTCTAATGAATTTGCCCCAGGAAATCACGTCCCAAATTCTTTCCATCAACTCCAACTACTCTCCTTCGACTCTCAACACAACCTCTCTATCCTCCCTAGGCAGCGGCGAGGAAGTAACCTGCCGAGCCATGGCAACAGGCTACAGAAGCCAAATCACCAAACAACAATAGTCACTCCAACGCATCCCGGGATACTGCGGCACAATCACTCCCAACACCTGCGCCATAATGCAATGTCAAGACACCACAGGGATTTACTTTTGTCCAGAATCAAATAGTCCTGGTGGAGAAGCGAGCATTTATTGTGAAGTAGCTGCTTTGTATGTTGGTAGAATGTTTAGTAAGTGTTGTCCTAAATCAAGTGGATTGAGAGCAAAGTTGGTTAGTAATGATGCTTGGAGTATTTAGGTGGGATATTGTAATGAAGACGAGTACGTTTCCTTATCCGGGGGGTCATGTTAATGCTGATTGGGATGAGCCGGATTTTGAGGGGGATTGTGCTTGATCTTGTTGCTCGGGAAGGCATCCAAGTTGGATGGATTTGGTGGAAAAAATAAACAATAAAAATAAAAATATGACCCCTAGCCTGGACTTGAACCAGACCCTAGAAAAGAACGAGATAGATAAGGAACAACACTCGGTCTAGTTGAAAGACCATCCGGCAAATTTTTCATTCGAAAAACCGTCTCCTCCCAAGTGGGAATCAAACGTTGAGCTTCGGTGTTGTATGAATACCTATCCGTAACTTTTCTCGTGCTGACCACTACACCACTAGAGGGATTGTTTTTATTGGTAACCTAGGGAGTAAAACTGGGGACTATGAGGCTACCAGCTGGCACTTACAGCCTCGTCCGTCAAATGTCAACAATCTCGGACCTCCGATACCCTCTTTACTCTACAGCCACTATGTTTTCTTCAAACTTACTGCCAGATCTTACTGCTACTTCTAGTAATCTTTTAGACGATAACTTTAGGGAAACGGCAGCGGCGTCAAATATGCCAGTATCAGATGGAAAGGGTAAATAGGCTCAGTGGGATACAGATCTATTGGGTGAAGCAGGAATCGTGATTAATAATGACTATAGGGATTTTTGGTGGTCCGGGATGGACACATGATTGTAGAACACATTTGGAGGATATCGAGATGATTATAGGTACATAAATTTGAGTACTGTAAGTTATTAGCAGGCGTTTGGTAGTAACCTAACTAGTATCATCCTACACAAGGCAACATCAGCATCAATCCACATTTTTTCATACGTACATACAACATAGTAATCACAAATCAGGAAATTCAATTATTTTTAAACCAAGTCTATTTCATACCAATTTAATCTAAATATCTATCAATCTATATTCCCCAAAAAAACACCTTGATCAAATCACAAAACCACATTCCAGCTTAGTCCTCCTTCAACTTCTACTTCTCCTCAGGCACCTCCTTCTCTTGAACCCGTCTCAACCCACCAATCCCACTCCCCCATCCCTCCAAAACCTTTTCCTCTCCCTCATGTCCCGTCGTAACCAACATCTCCAACCTAACCCTCCCACACTTCTGTCCAACCCTATGAACCCTTCCAAAAACCTGAGCAGTTTCCCTCTTTGTAAAACCCGGCCCAGTCACAACCAAATAATTCGCCCTTTGTAAATTCAATCCTGTTCCACCAGACGCAAAACTCGAGACTAAAACATTTGGAGTACCGTTTCCTTCCTTTAGGAAAGAATCGATTATTTTTTGTTTGTCTGGTTGAGATAGAGCTGGATGGAGGTAGATTGGTTTTAAGGAGGGGAGTTTTAGGTGAGTGGAGAGGTAGAGGAATAGAATAAGGGTTTCGGATTCGTGGGGGGAGAAGAGACAAAGTTTTTTGAGGGAGGATGCGGAATTGGGGATTGGGGAGGTGTCGGAGAGCATGGATTTGAGGGTTGTGGTTAGGGATAAGAGTTTTGGGGAGGAGGTGGTCCATGTGGAGATGTGAGGGGTGTATGGGGAGTGAAGGGGTTTGAGGGGAAAGGAAAGGGGTTCGGAGGGGAGAAAGGTAAATTTGGTGTGGGAGGGGTCGGAGAGGAGGGCTGGGAAGGTTGAAGAGAGAAGAAGAGGGAGGGATGGGGTTGGGGAGAAGGAGGATTGAAGGGCTGTAATTGCGGGAAGGTATTTAGTTGGGATGGAGTGGGTGATAATGGAGATTTTGAGAGGACCAAGGGTGGTAAGTGGCCGGGTGAGGAAGGAGTCGGTGACCAGACGGCGGATCATTAGGTGAGTAAGGATCTGGGAGAGATGGGTGTAGTAGGCCTTGACTTGGTTGGGAGGAATAGTTGATCCGGCGGATTGGAGGGCTGTGTAGGTTGAAAAGTTTGTGAGGAGGGATTGGAGTTGAGAGCGAGAAGCCGGATGGAGAGGGTGGGTGGGCTTGGACCAGGTGGAAGACTCCAGATGACTGATTGCCGGGGCAAGATCAGCTGGGGAATGGTCGATTGGAGTTCCAGACACAAAGTAAACCAGGGGAGTGGGCTGCTGAGAAGTGAGAGTACACTTTTTGAGATGGTTGAGCCAGGCGAGTGTACGACTTTCAGGGGTGAGAGCGTACTCGTGGAACTCATCCAACATGATCATACCGGGCAAAAGAGCACTCTTCTTCTTTCCCTTGACCAAAATGTTAAACTCAGAGTTGAGCTTATCAATGGATTGAGGGGAAACAAAGATGAGGTAGTGGCTTTGGCCGGTAGGAGCTTGGTAAGTGTACTCAAAATCAGTCTTGCCGGGCTTCTGCTTTGGTCTGATGCTGGCGTGAAGTAAAGCAATGTCCCGAGTGCTCAGCTGGTTATCCTTGTCAACGTCCTTACCATAGCCCCTGATTTTGAGAGTCTTGGTGTCGAGCTTGGTCTTGGCCTCACGGATCATGGGAGCGCAGTTCTTTGCTGGAGCAATAAAGAGGTTGGGACCATCAGGAAGACGGTCCGCAATCTGTCGAGTTGGCTCATTGTAGCAGTAGCAGCGGAATCCATACTTTTGATCATATGGACAAGACTGCGCACCCAAGTCGGTTTTGAGGTTGTGACGGACAGTTGCAGGTCGCTTCTTTTGGGCAGAGGTCTTGGGAGGGGACCAAAACTCGTGGACTTCAGTCTTGCATCTACGAAGGTTGTGAGCCAACGCAATGAGACCAAACATCTCCTGAGTCTTGCCGAGTCCTTGCTCATCACAAAGAAATCCACCAGAGACGTCATCCAACAGAAATTTGATGAGTGTATAAACACCCATAAGTTGGTAGTCAAACAAGCCGACAGTCATGCCCGGGAACTTTTTGAAAGGAACCCGAACATGTTGGCTGTCAGCTGATTTGCTAGCAATCTGTCTGTTATACTCATCAACATTAATGCGGAAGAAGTCAAGACAACCATGCCACTCAGCCTCATTGTTTCCCGTGTTGCAGCTTCCAAGGTAAGAGTCAACAACATCAGGGTTTGCCATGCCAAAGTCAATGTCCTCAGCTTTGTTGATGCTGTATTCCTCCTCCTCCTCCTCAACCTCAGCTGGTTTCATGGCAGCCAGTTTAAGCTGCTCATATTCCACCTCGGTGAATATCCCCAATTGAAGTCCCAAATTAGGATAATCCCTAAATCCATTCTTCTCCCACTTCATGTGATGATCATTTTCTTGGTTGAATCTGGTCACGACATCATAGGTCGAAGGAAAAGCCACGGTGCGGTAAGGGGAAGGATCAAAGCTGTTCTTGTTGTTGTTCTCCATCGTTTTTTTGAGGCTGGCTCTAATGTAGCCAGCTTCAACCATGCGAACAATGGCTTCTTCGACTAAATCGGGCTCTGGTGACTCTGGGGGAGTCAGAACAACCGGTTTTTTCGTTTTGGGAGAAACAATCTTAAGTTGAATTTCACCAGGAGTTTGGTCTGAAGCAGTTTGAGCAAATTCTAACAAGAGTCTTTCCCAGTCGGTCTTGGATTTTATAAGAGTGAAAATTCGACGGGTGTTGAGGGCTTGAAGGACGTCGCCCTTTTTCGGTTTGAACTTTAGTTGAATCCGGAGATAATCCTTCAAGACCTCCCAGTTGTAGTCTTTTGGTAGATACTGACGAGATTTGTTTTGTTGTAGTCGATGAGGGACGAGATCGAGAAGTGGCTTCTTACACTCTTGGCTCTGCGAAAAAGAAGTGTTGATGACGAGAGTCAAGAGTGTGAGTTTAGCCCAATCTGGGAGTGAACGTTTTGGTGGTGAGGGTGACATGATGGGCCTCGGTCGTTTTTATTTACTTTTTCGACTCTGGATGTCGCCTGGGAGGATAGAGGAATAGTTCGTGGGAGGTTAAAGATGCTGGTATATGTTCTCCGTTGAATAATGCCATTGTGGTCATAACAGTTCTTTGTGTGAAAGAGAGGGAAGGGGTTGTGAGACAATCTCTTTGTTGTAAGAAGAGCTAGAATGTGGTTGGACATTTTAGAAAGAACTATGCGTTGTCAACAGTATGAGAACAAAGAGAAGCAAATAATTGAAAGGGTTTGTTGCTGACGGACTGAGCTGTTGAGATGTGATCAGTCAGTTGATTCCAGTTGTTCACTTCATAGTCTTCTGTCCTTCCTTCATGTGAGTACCATCTTGATGCTGCTATACGAAAAAAAAAGATATTGTTGTTGTCCCCGGTCGGATTCGAACCGACGTCTTTCGCTGCCTTAATCAAATTCGCTGGGAAAATCAAACGCTGGAGATAAAGCATACAAACGATGACCACTACGCTACGGGGACTGTTGGTGTGTCATTTGGCAGCAACTGGGAGCATTATTTAAATCTAAATAAGCCTGAGTTGTGTCTGGGCGAGTCGAGAAGTTGTGGTTGTAGTGGATTATGGGGCTTGCTTAGAGGTGGGAATGATGTAAGCGATGGCATGCGGAAAAGGGGCCCCCTTCAGATTTGTTTTCTTTGCCCTTGAATCTGCATGATAACATTTATCAAACGTCTGAATAATCAGGATCACAAGGCCCTTGAGGAATAGAAGAGACAAGACAGTTAATAGGGTGTAAACAAATCACTCAGTCCAGTCGTGATTTTGTACGTGGCCCAAGCTCTCTGCTGATTGAACGAATCTTGCAGGTACAAAAATATTTTGTGTCGAAAATTTTTGGAGCTTTTTCTCTTTTCTTTCTTCGACCGTCAGTCCAGCAGCTCCCTCCAACCCGGTTGCGTCGTCGCTCCTTTTTTTTCAAAGACCAAACCCTCGGCGTATTTCTCCCGGCTCCCTTGTTTGTAAGTTGTGCAATATAGCTCGACCTACCCAAGTACTTAATGCTTGCTTCAGGGCATTGCCAACTACTCATGGTCATGATGATTTGCTTGTACGAATCGTCCAAGTAGAGACAGCTAATATTTTCATCTGATCTTTAGCATATAAAAATGTCGTCTTCCGGTCCCCGCTCCCGGCCCGCCCACATCCGTTCTGGCTGCGTGGTTTCCTCACGTCGGCTTCCGCTGGAAGCGTGGACTCTCGCGCATTTTGCGCAACAACGGCCGGAACGCGGCTGCAGACCTGGTCGACGACCCCGTGGAGGGCATACGACCCCACGAGGGGGTCATTGACTTATTGGAGCGTGCCGCCCAGTTCTCCGACTTGGGCTTCGGTTTACAGGCCGATGTTTGGTTAGTAGTACTCTTTTGGTGATGTGGTTGATGTAATTTGAGACTGACCGATCGTTCCGGTTGCTATATCAGGGTTGAGCTCTTGTACCAGATTGTTTTGGCCAGAGAAACGTACAGAAGCCAAGTTTCTGTGGATGAGCAGCGCTGTAAGTTTAATTTCCCCTTTTGATTTGCCACCCCTTCTTCAGGAGATGAGAAGTAGAAAAGCGTGTTGAGGCTAACAAGGGGATGTATTTTTAAATCATAGCAAGCTTCAATCAGCTCACTCCGCTTGCCTTCGCCGCCGACGACCTCCGCCGTGCCATTGGCACCCACTAGGATTGGGTGGCCTTGGAGTTGTACTGCTATCCCCACCTAATGGGGGAGGCATACCATGTTGACGATAGCAGCAGCAACGAGGAGGAGAACGAGGCCGCCAACATCAATGACAATGCCGCCAATGATAAAACCGAGGAGGAGAAGAATGCCGCTGTCACAAAGGCCGCCGAGGAGAATGCTAAGGTTGATGCTGAGGCTGAGAAGCTTCCCGAGGAGCTAGAGAAGATGACGATTGTTGACGAGGATGGCGATGTGGAGATGACGGATATGATGGAGGAGTAGTTTTTTTTCTTTTGTTTTTTTCTCTTCCTTTTTTTGTCATGTTTAATAAAAGAAGGCTCAGGGAGGGCTTGTCCGCTGTTGGGGGTCGTATTTTCCATACTATAGGGGCGCCGTGTAGGGATACAGGTCTGAAGAGAATGATAATTGGTGTCTGGTGACGAGTAAATGATGATCAGAACAATGTGCACAGTTGAAATGAAGCCTCGAGGCTGCCAGTGCCGGTGCCAGTGCCAGGCAACCTGAGGCGCTCTGTTGCTCTTTCCTCTTTGAATTGAGCAGACCCCCGCCTTATAGGTTCCAAATGCAGTACCTAATTTCAGCGAATAAACGAATCATAGAGACCGTGGTGCAACGGCCAACTCCGCTGTACGTTCAGTCAACCTGAAGAGTCTATCGGTTCAGCTCCCATACACTGTGATGAGCGTTACCTTGATTTTCAACCAAGGCTGATGGTGGGATTTGATTAGTTATCTATAGCTTGATTTACCATACGTCCCTTTGTGTCGCAGCACACTTTCAAAAGTCATAGTAGTTGACTGCTGAAATGTTGTGGATGCACGTTATTTAGGCAATTCTGTATTACAATCATGTTGCTTCTGGGGGAAACCAGGTGATGATTCTATTTTTGCCCTTTTCTCGAGAACTTTGACGTGATGCCACGGTGCAACTCGCATTTTCAGGGATTGAGACAAATATACTTACGGTGAAGAACCGGGACCGACGCATCGACCCTCCGAGCTCATTTTGAGCCCCAAATGGACTTTATCATTTTTCTTCACATGCAAGTCAACGGCCAACATGAACACTGGATGCGGCTGTGTAAGTTGCTTCACCTCACACAATATTCGGCATTGACTCCGGAATTACAAAACGGACTCCGTTTTCCTACGTCAACGGATTACCCCACCCACACACTGTTTGAATCTTTCAGCTCTCCCTTTGTGACTTCCTTCCAAGGGGGTGGTGTTGTGCCAGTCCGCCCTATTTCTGGGAATTGGAAAGAGACAAAGGGAGGGAAAAAGGCATGAACCACGTTACCATCTCATCTCGGAACCGAAAACTTCCAAGGCCAAACGGACACAAACATATAAAGTTTCGGCAATCGCCCTTCAGTCTCCCGGAATCAGCCATCATCAGCCAACACCACAACTCGAAATCAACAGTTTCACACAATTCAAGCAAATTCCACATCACCACCATGGCCACTCCAATTCCTATTGCCAGTGTCGGCGCCAACCCCGCCATCGTCAGAGACATTCAACTGCAGCTCCTTCCCGAGTATAAAAGTATGATTTCCCCCATGCCGCCTCACATCTACCACACGCTGACCACCCTTCTAGTCGTCCACGTTTGTTTCGATCCCGTCACAGCCACGTCAGAGCTCCCCGGCATCTGCTCAGGCGACCATGACATTGAGCCTTCTTCCGGTCTGGGCACCAACGCCCACCGGTCCGCAGCCGACCGCGAGATTCCCAAAGCCATTATCTTTGGTGGCGGAGTCTCCGGGGACGAGGCGCAGGCCATCACGCAGGCAGTTCACGACAAGGTCCCCGAGATCAAGGCGCTTCACGTCACCAAGCAGGACATCTTGGATGCCGGTGCCGAGGGCCCCAACCCCGAGGTCATCTCTGCTGTCTTGAGGAAGAAGCTGGTTGCGTTGGGAGATTTGTCTGATTGTGATGCTTGAGAGAACTGTGGGATGAAAAATGTACGGCTGGAGATGGCAGGGCTCTTGGGACCAAACGACAAGTTCAAGTAGGAAAGTTTCAAACAACCATGTGTATTACAACTTCTCTCCACTCTCCAATTCCTTTCGAACTTCCTGGTACCGTTGATAAGCAACCTTCTCTGCATCGAAATCCAAAATCCACGCCTCTCTCTTCAAATGCAAACTGTCTGGATTCTTCCAAATCGCATCCCAATCGGCTTTGTGCCACTGCTCTCTCGTCTGCACGCCAGTCTTTTGAATTGCATGAACCCGCTCATACCGTATTCTCTCCCAGACCTTGACTGCCTCTTGCACTTTATCCTTGCCAGCGATATCCAAACAAGCAGCCATCACCACGCCATCCTCCATTGCCTGGCTTGCTCCTTGTACGCTCGTAGGCAAGAAGGGGTGTGCGGCATCCCCAATAACAGCTATTCTCCCGTGTTCTGGGGAAACAAATGTAGGTAACGGGTCTCTGAACACCAACTTATAATCAAAGAGACGATCTTCAGGCGTGACTCTGATTATTTCTTGAACAATAGGATCCCATCCTTCTACTACCTTGAGCGCTTTCTCCTTGGAACCGGGAAACTGCCACGACTCTTTGATTTGGGCATCATCAGCGTGCGTGCAAACCCAAGAGAATTCGGTCCCGTTTTTGATGGAGGCGGTGAGGAAGTGTACGTCTTTCCCTATCCAGCCGTTGTGAGTGTCTCCGTTTGGATATACCAAGTGTTTGATGAGCGGGTTTGAGGTGAGTAAAGGCGAGGAAGGGAACCAAGCTCGAAAGACAGCGTACCCCGAAGGTGTAGGACGGGAATGATCATCGTATCCTAGGATTTTAGAACGAGCGCGAGAATGGACTCCCTCAGCTGCTAGGACCAGGTCCGCTGTGAATGTGTGCCCGGAGGAAGTGGTGACGATTGCTGAGTCTTTAGTTTCAGAATATGACATTACAGTCTGATTCAGGAGAATAGAGATATTCGGCTGCGCAGAGGCCTGGTCAAAGAGGATTTGATGAATCTCGCCTCGATGACCGTTTACTCGGGTTCCCCATTTGCGGTGTTCCTCGACGAAGGACTGGGTGGTTACGAATTTGCCTTGCCAGTCATGGAAGTGAAACTCGGTGGACTGGTGGATGATAGGGTCGAGCTTCTCGAGGACGCCTGGCCATTTGGCGAAGAAGCGGGAGGAGTTTTGACCAAAGGAGATTATGTCGCCTAGGGTTTGGGATAAGGAAGGGGATTTCTCGAGAAGGAGGACGGGGATTGATTTGCGGGATAGCTCGAGGGCTGCTGTTAGGCCTGCGAAGCCGGCTCCTACTATTATTACTGAGATTGGGGAAGAGGACATTTTGAAAAGATGGGAAAGATGTGAGATTTCATAACACGATCACAAAATGCGGAATAGGAGTGACCTTAAGAAGGCCGTTTCTCATTGAGTGTAATATCTACTTTGATTCCTCAGATCAATTACCGAAAACGGGCACTTGTACCCCGCATATGCAGATGGGGGGTTGTTGGCGACGGGTAGTATTGAACTGCGGAAGTTGTCCATGAGCGGGACGTCGGAACTGGCGGGTTCCCAGTTCACTGTTCAGATGATATTTGGTAAATCTGATGTTTGCTGAGGCTGAATGTGACAATTGGATGAAATAGATGCTTGGCAAATATCAAACATGCAATTGCCCGTGGTGAGGAATTGCCAGTTGGCTATTCATCTGCAAAATAAGAAAATATGTTGAGCTTTGATGTTTTTGCGCACAAATCACTGAAATTATCTGACTTGTCAGTTTTGCCAAGTT